TTTATTTTATTTTATTTTATTTTATTTTTTTGGTACCAAGGATCAAACTTGGGTCCTTGAGCTTGTGCAGCAGACAGCGAAATCACTGAGCTAAATCCCTAGCCTAAGAAAAATCATTTTAAAATAGGTCCCAAAGGCTTTGCTTCTCCTCCCATTGAGAGGTGCAGTTTAATCCATTCCCCCCTTTCTGGGCCTTAGGGTAAAGTGATGTTCTGGGATTATAAGGCCAGGTCATAAGAAGCCTTCCATCCAGGTCTTCTGGAACACTCTTTGTCCAGGTCTTGAATTACCATATGAGATGCCTGACATTCCCTGCTAGAGAGTCCTGGTCTAGACCCTCCCTTGGCCCAGCTCCAGCCATCCCTACCTAGGAGCCCAGCATGAGGGGAAGCTATCCTGAGTCCTCCAGATCAGCCCATCTGCCGGCTGAATACCACCAGCAACCCACATGGACATCATTGGCCAGAAGAACCACCAGGATGGGCTCTGGCCAAATTCCTGCCCCACAAAACCATATTATAAAATGGCTGTTGCTTTAAGCACTGAGTTTTGCAAAAGATTTTTATGTAGTAATAGAAACAGGACCACCTGCCCAGGCTCTGTTGACATTTGAGTTTGCAGCCCTAGTTAAGTGTGACTTGTCCTTGAATGGAATTCAGTCATTTTATTACTTATCTCAAACATTGTGCTGGTTCCAAACTGTAGATGTTTTATGAGACTAGATGATACTTGACTGCAAAAAATGTTTATAAGCAAATAGCCTAGGCTTCTTACATTTTGGTATAAAGCTGTGAACTTCATAGCTTTGTAATGCAATTTGTAAACCAAATACAAGAGGAAAATAAAGTACTTTTACTAACTGAAAAAAAAACCCAGAAATTTACTAACTGAATAAAATTTTTTAAAAACTGTAGATGTTTTGCTTATTGTGTTTTATAAACTAGGCTTCTTCAGATGAAAAATACCCCTGGAATCTTTTTGGAAGAGGTTACAGAATAAATTATAAAGACAATGTAGAAAGAAAAGACTCTGAGGTCAGAGCCTCTTATTTCACCAATGCAGGCTAAAGTCATTTACTGTATGACTTAGCCAGGTCACACAGGTAGAGGATAGTAAATCCAGGATGTCAGTCAAAAGCCGCTGATTTCCCAGCCTGCCCTTCTCATAAAAGGATTCCAGAGGCATCTCGGCTGGTCAAGACTGATAATCATTAGATATTAATCATTGAAATACAGAACTCCAGGGCCAGGGATTTAGCTCAGTGGTTCCGGTGCCTGCCGTGCAAGTGCAAGTTCCTGAGTTCAATCTCCAATACCAAAAAAAAAAAAAATACAGAACTCCAAAAATTTACTAAATATAACTTTGTCTTTGTTGCTGATTCAAAATCTACTTATGAACCTTGGTTATTTCCTATTAAATTGTAAGTGCTGAAGAAAGAAGATCAAGCCGAATCTATTCTGCACTGTTGTCGCGTTCTGACACTTTCCAAAAAGTCTCCTGTCAACTTCTCATTTTACTGTACATAAAAGAGGGTTACTCTGGGGGCAGAGGGCTTACTCATTAAGTACATCTGAGTTCAATGGAAGTTTGTAACTCTAGCTACACAGCATGCCAAATAAAACTTAGCTCTTTCAGTATATAATTCTTGCCCAGTACTATTTTTAAAATAATTGAAAACCTTCCCTTGGTACACTGAGACTACTTTTTAAGTCATGTTGATTTATTCTTACAAGATAAATAATTTTCTTGAAGTTAAAATGTGAAAACATTAACATTTATAAAACATTAAGTCTATTACAGTATCCTCTTAGGCCTACAATTAAGATTATGGATGCAGTAGATTTTCCATAATATTACATCAAGAATATGGACCATAGTTTACAGGCCCAACAGACAAGCAGAAAAGTTTCAAAAAACTATTTTAGTTTTATTGCTTCTTCCCAGTTACTCTTTTCCAGGAGTCGCTGCTGCTACTTATGCACCATAGCCTTGCCCTCTTGGTACAGAATTCATGGTCTAGAAGCTACCAGAATCGGTTATGTACACATCTTTAACAGCTCTGGCTACCAATCCCTTACCCCTACCCCTGCTATACTGCAATCACATGGGAAAGAGAAGCCACGTGTTCTCATTCTCCCTCCTCTTCCTTCTCTCCTCCTCCTCCTCTCCCTTCTCCCCCTCTCTTTTTCTTCCTCCTCTCCCTCTTTTTCCTCCCCCTCTTCCCCTTCTTCTTCCACTTCCTCTTTCTCCTCCCCTCCTTCTCCTTCTCCTCCTCCTCTTCTTAATTCATGGCTCTCAGAACAAAGAATAACTTAAAAAACATTTGTGGCATTAAATTGAATCTAAATCTTGAATACTCAAACAGAAAAATATATATCCACCAAAATGAAATATAATAAATATATTATAAATAAATTATAAATATATAATAAATGAAATATAACTAGTATTTATTAGGCACTGCTAAAGACTAAATTCTATGACAGTTTGGGAAGCAGTATCACACATGGTTCCTTATCTCAAGGCACTTACAATTAGTTGGAAAGAAAGGACCAAAAAATGTAAAAAATATAAAAAGCAATATAGAAACATATAGGAAGGAAGATATATGTGTATCTCCAGATAGATGGTAGGTAAGTAGGTAGAAACTTTGACTACAAGATCTTCCAGAGTTCAGAAAACAGATAGGAGGCTTGAGGTGTGGCTCCATAGCAGAGCATTTGCCTACCATAACTGAGGCCCTGGGTTCAAGTTATTATTCTCCAAATAAACAGAACAATATCCCAGGAGAAAGATAAGTCAGTGGGGTCTTTAAAAATGTAAGAAAAATTTCTAAAATAGATGTAGAATTTGTATATGATCAAAGAGAACAAAAAGAACATTTTAGACACCCAAAAGATGTGAAAACAGAAATGATCCTGGGCCTAGCCCATGACAGTGAATGGGCCAGTTTATTTAGAAAGGAGAGCACCTTGCAAGAAGCGTATCAGACAGGCAGGCGAAAATTGTCAGGCAATGACACTGAAAAGCAAATACAGAGTTTCGAATTGTACAAGTTCATGAAAATGTGTCATAAAATCAAAGACATAATAAAACAGTTGCCTCAATGTTTCCCACTACACGGTTTTCAAAAATCCAGCATGTTTTCCATATTTCCACTTCAGTGATAATTTTGTTTGGGGATGTCAACTACAAAATAGCAGGCAAAAAATTAATCTTCCTGTGACAGAATGTCATTTCTTCATTTTTCCTACAAAAGCAAAACAGATGGAAAAGTAGTTTAAAGCAGGGAGTGTCTTAATTAGCTGCCTAAGGGACCAAAGGTTTTTGTATGACTCATGTGAGTTACTTAAAATCAAGTCACCCTGATGTCCCGAATTACCCATGCTGCCATCTGGAAATATGACTGAGGAATGTTTGGGACACAGTTGCCAGCACCCAAGCCCCAGTGCCTCCTCCAACAAGATTAACCTTTTGATGTTTTATTCTGGTCTAACCATTTTTCAGACACCATAATTTGGGAGTTTCTTTATCACCTCGGAAATCATTTACCTCCACTCTCCCTCACGGTAGAGAGGAAAACACTAGAGTGTGGCAATTCAAAGATATTTATAAAACATTAATTCCTCTCCTTCTTGGAAAAAAATACAGTGCACATTGTTGTTACGCTAAGCAGAAGACAAAGATATTTCCCAGTTCTTACCACCCACACTCTGTTCATTAAGTGAAGTGTGGCTCATTCAGAAGACTGCAGTTAGCATGAGATGGTTAGAGCGCCGGATACAAGGACACTCACGCCGTGAACTGAGACTGCAGACACAGGCAGGAGCCAGATCACCCAGGGTCTCATATGTTCTTGGATTGTATCCGGCAGGTGATGCAGAGTATTGAGGACATTCACAGGACAGTGTGACATGCCAGGTCTACTGCTGAAGAGATCGTTGCAGTACATTCGGGTAGGCAAAGTTCGTGTAAAAAAGTTTATAAGATAGCTGTCAGGCGTGGTTGCGCAAGTCAGTAATCCAAGCATTCAGGGAGTCCAGCCTGGGCAGTTTAGGGACTCAGAGAGACTCTGTCTCAAAATTTAAAAGGCTCTGAGAATGTAGCTTAGTGTGGAGGCCCTGGGTTCAATTCCCAGTACTAAAAAAATTATAATAAACATAAGACTTCAAAATTTCTAAGAGGTTTCTAAGAAAAGCTAAAAGATCATATAAGTAGGCTAAGCTAAGGAGTAAGGAAAATCTTGTGACCAAGAACAAAAACGTAGAAACAAAAAGAAAAGACAGACTTGTTTATTACTTAGGAACTCAAAACTTTTATGTGACAAATATACCATAAACAAAGTTAACAGACAAATGAGAGATTTGTGGAGGAAATTGTCCAACTCAGAAGACAGAAAGTATTTAAATATGCAAAGATCTCTGACAAATTGACAATTAGGGGGCATAAAAACACAACAGAAAAATGAGCAAAGGATCTGGTAAAAGCAATTTGGAGAAGAACTACTCTGGATACCTAACAAATCTATTTTAAAATGTCCAACTCTGTACATACTCAGGGAAATGCAAGCAAAACGAACTAGGAGATGTCTTTTTATATATATCTAAGAGACTGGCAAATCAAAAAGTAATTATATTGATTGCTGGCAGGAATGTGCATATTCATCACTGCTGATAGAAATGGAACTAATAGAGTATTAAGAGTAATAGTATTCAAAACAGAACCTGACAAATATCAAAATTGAAAATGTATACTACTTTGAATCAGCAATCCTTTCACTGAAAATCTAAGCCACAGCATTAAACTAACTGTGAAAAATAGAATATACAAAAGAGAAGAGGTTTTGCTTTTTTTTTTTTTGCACTGTTTATGGGGCAAAAAACAAAATAAATAAATAAATAAAACCCTGGAAACAAATTGAGCTTTCATCAGTAGTAAAATGCTTTATAAATTATGGTGTGCCAACTGAATACTAGTCACCATTTAAATAATGGATACCACTATGCCAGATAGAGTATTTTTAGGTGAAAATAATAAGAAAGAGAGGAATACATATAAGTGAAAGGGCAGTTTGGTGTATTAATTAAGAGCATGGACCCAGAAACTTCCACATCTTTGGGATTCAATCCTGGCTCTACCATTTCTTACCAACTGTGTCATCTTGGAAAAGTTACTCAGTCATACTGAACCTCAGTTCTCTCATCTGTCAAATGCTGCAAAGAATCGTCATAAGAGTAATTAAATTATGCACATAAAGCACTCAGAAGAAATCTAGAATCCTAGCACTCAGGGAAGCTGAAGCAGGAGGAACATAAGTTCAAGTCCAGTCTTAGCAATTTTTCAAGACCTTCTCTCAAAAAATATAAGTAAGTAAGTAAATAAATAAATAAATAAATAAATGGCTGGAGATGTAGCTCATGCCAAAGGCCCTAGGTTCAATCTCCAGTACCATAAAAGATAAAAAAGGCCTTTAGGATAACATCTGGTGCATAGTAAGCACTTAGTCAATGTCAGCTACTGTATGTTCCCACTGTTTTAAAGCAATGATCAGAAATTTCATACGTACTGATGTATATAAGCTTCTCCACCTGTCACTGGTGGGTTTTCTCAGTGATATTTGTCACCTTCCCAAATATAAATATTTATTTTGTCTTTTTGTCTTAATCTTCCCAATTTCAGGCTCTGTGAAAGACAGAGTATTCTCTCTATTTTTTTATCACCATATCTCAATGCCTACATCAGTCCTGAGCAGGTCACAGGCACTCCAAAAACTATTTTGTTGGATGAATGAATGAATGAGTGATGAATCCATATATTGTTAGGAGACTATTCTCCATGAGTCTGTGGCATTTCTGCACATTTTGCAAGCCCAAAAACTAGCTTCTTTTGTTCTGAACCATCTACATAAGGATGCCTGTATAATAAACAATTAGAAAACAGGTGGTATCTCGCTCCAGAGCAGAAGGCAAGTTGGCTGAATAACCAGAATAATAAAGGGAATATCTCCCTCCACAGACATTGATCAGGCAGCTTTAATGCTCACTATCTCAAATCAGGTTCTCTAAGCTTAAAGTCACTCATTTGTGCAACCAACTTCATGTGTAGGTGCCACCTGGCCCTCTCTGTATCACCATGTAGGAATTGGGGTTGCGGAACCAAGCAAATCCACCCTTTGGCTACTGCTGTTACTATAATAACACACACACTAGGTCTCTGATGTAGTATGCTCCACCAGCCTTCAAGAAACGGTAACAACTTCTTAGCTTGAAAGCAGGGAGACTCCCAGGTGCTTCACAATTTGTATGTACCTATGTTTATTATGATTATGTGAGCAGGGAGGAAAACATAAAAGAATGAATTCTAGGCTAACAAATTCAGGGTTGTAGGGAAGTAGAATGGGGAAGAAAGGGGAAGATGAAGAAAAGAAAGAGGAGGATGAAGAGAAAAAACAACGAAGTCTCAGTCCAAGTATAGTAATGACTGTGACACGTGTAAAGATAAATTGACTTACACACCTGCCAGAGATAGGCCAAGGTGTACAAACACTTCACCAGAGCCTAAATAATTCATAATTCACTGCACACAGTCATAAGGAGAACTGAAATTTTTTAAACACATTGCCACTTATTCCCTTCAAAACATTCCCTCTTGGGCTGGGGATTTAGCTCAGTGGCACCACATCTGCCTTGGAAGAGCAAGGTCCTGAGTTCGATCCCCAGTACCTCCTAAAAAAAAAAAAATTCCCTCTTGCTTCAAATACCCTTGTGCCATTGTTCATGCCACTTTCTGGAGCAGTTCTGAAAGCCTCTTTTCTGAGAGTGCTTATGAGGTGTGAACAAAGACGTGTGCTGCCAAGTGCCATCCAATGGAAAGCAGGCCTGTAAAAACATTATGTTATGTGTTTCATTATCCACGTGGATCTGGCACCTGTGACTTGTGGATCTTCCTCAAAGTCAAAATGACCATGAAATATAGTAAGTGTTTTGAAGCTACTCAGGACATCAAGTCAGACACAACAGTGCAACTGAACACACAGATTTCCAGAACTGCTTCAGAAAACTGCAAGAACCATGGGATAAGTGTGTTTGAAGTGAGGGGAAGTGTTCTGAGGAGGATTAATGGCAATGTCCCTTTTATTGCAAAAAATGTTTAATTCGCCATATTTTTCTATCACACCTCATAACCCCCTGGAGTTTCTAAACATTTGCTCAAGCTTCAATCTATAAGCCTCCAACACCCATTGAGGGCCTGCCCAGCATTCATCACGTGTCATTTTAATATGCAGATGTGCATTCTCTGTTTGCTTTAGGGGCTTACTTCACAGCAACAAAGTCTTCATTTCCTGGGTAAGGATGTCGTAAAAAATAAATAGAGGTTATATTTAGATTATTTTTTTGAAGGAAGTCTTTGAAACTCCATGCTTTGTCCTTATATAGTCCTACTAAATCATTTTTTTTTCAAAGAAAGAAAGAGCTACTTCAAGTAATGTTATAAAAGAATCAGCTACTTTGCTCTGTTAGGGTTCTTCTGTAAGCAACTTTCAAGCTTTGGAAGGCAAGCATGCAACGCGGTACAGAAGAGAGGGGAATGGACTCCGAGTGTGCCACAAATATACATACCAGTCTCTGCAACAGCCTGAGCTGCCTGGGAACCCTCAGTCCAACCTAGAGAGAGAAGAGACATGACAGAGGATTGAGAGGGCATCCTTGAGTGGCATCTGTGAGGGGTTAAATGCATTCAACTTCACCTAAAGGACTATTCAGCCTGAAAAGTAGTTTTGATTTTTCAGCAGAGACTTGGTTTCTGGGCCAGAATTTGCATCCATCTCTCTCAGACCAGGTTGATCTTTGACCCAAGAGGTCATACTACCTTGTCCTCTGATTGCTTTTAAATTTGTAAGAGGAGTCTAGATAAAGTGACAAGGACAGATAATTAGAATATTTGTATTGTTTCATTTTAATTTTGGCTTGATCCAGGCATGGCAGTGCATACCTGTAATCCCAGCACTCAGGAGGCTGAGGCAAGAGGATCATCGTGAGTTCAAGGCCAGCCTGGGCTACTAATGAGTTCAAGGCCAGCCTGAACTACGAAGTGAGACTTGTCTCAAACAAAACAAAACAAAACAAAACAAGACACTGTAAAACTGTTTTCCAAAGTGACTACAGTATTTTATATTATACCTGTATTCATGTCTTTTAATTTAAAAATTCTACTTACAGTCAGATTTAATATAATACTTAAAGTATCATGAGACAGGACATCAGTAGAAAAAAATTAATGTATAAGAAAATTCTTTTCAACTTTTAAAACAATTTTTCTTAATTAGAAATAGCCTAAAATACCCTTAAAAGTGGTTTGGTTACATATATCATGCGACATTGATTAATTACAACACAGGTCTTGAAAATAATGGTGTGGATGTATATTCACTGTCATCAACATGACATCATGTTAGTGGGTTTTAAGGCTGTTCACTAAATATTTTTCTAGCTCTGCCAGAATGACCCCCATGAGTAGATAGGGCCATATACTACTCTAGCCAATAATGTAAATAACATCTGTCACTTCTGGGCCAAAAATTAAAATACAGACATTTGATCCTGCAGAACAGCCTTCTCCCTCTGGTACAGTAATTAACAGTATTTGGAATGGTATCCGCTCCATCAAGCCCAAGTTCACAAGTGATCACAATGTGTATACTTGTTCCACTGCCAACTCAAGGTGGACAACTTGTATAAGCAAGTAATAAATGTTTGTTATTTAAGATATAGAGACTTGGGGCTTGTGTGTTACCAAGTGTAACCTAGCAAATTCTGACAGATATACTAAAAAATATATTTTTATTATATATGTTTTACATTATATATATTTATATTTTATGGATATATTTTATATATATATATATTTTTTTGGTACTGGGGATTGAACTCAGGGCCTTGTGCTTGCAAAGCAGGAGGCGGCACCACTGAGCTAAATCCCCAGCCCTCAAAAAATATTTTTAAATACTAATCAACAAGACATTATATTTAAAATCATTTGTTTTTAAGTAGACATGTTTTATATGTAGCATGTGCACCAAAATGCAAAGGGCTATTACTTTTGGATGGGTGAATTCCTTTTCTTTATGCTTTTCTTTTTTTTTTTCTGTTTTTAAATTAATTTTGTTGGTACATTTTAGGTATACAATATAATGACATTCATCATTGGAAATTTGTACCTTTACATAATATATTTTCCTTCTTATTTTTTCCCCATTCCTCTGCCCTCCAACCCCTCCACTCCTCCTTATTTACAATACACTTTTCAAAATTCAGTTTTTAACATATTACTATAGATTATTTCAGTAATGGAATAAACAATAAATATATTTGCATCTTAAAAGCTGAAAGTATAACAAATTGTTTTAATCTCATCCTTTCCTTTATCCCTCAAATATATATATATTCAAATATACAAATGTATATTTACATAGATATATGATATATTTGCATAAATATATATATATAATATTTGCATACGTAAGTTAACACTAGAAGCCATGACATAGTCTGCTGTTTAATAGAACATAAATAGAAATGGTACAGGATCTAGATTGACAACCACCCTAACTGCAAATGGAAATCAAACAATTTCCGGAATGATGCTGTTTTCTGATTTCTAACGTGAGTTGAGCTGTATGGGGCACCAATGGAAGGCCATAATAAGGATCCTAGGCAAGTTCTTCACAAATTCTGCAGCTCATCTCAGGTCTTTACCTCCCTAAAATTGTGGAATAGGCTAGGGAACACTTAAAATAACTATGGTTGGAAGGAGAGCCAAGCCCCTCTCAGGTGTTAGATTCTCTATGTTGACCTAAAGTATTTTCTTTGAAGTTTCCTCCTTTGTAAAATAGGCTTTCTAAGAAAATAAGCAAGGTTTAAGGAGAACAAGAGAAGTTGGTTTTTTCATTTTGAAGATGACTATCTTATGTCTCAGGGGATCCCTGTGGCTACAGTTCAATACAAGTTTAAACTCAGGTTGACCCAGAACCAAAACATCCTAGTACAGACAGATTCCTGGTGCCAGCTAGGATTGGAAGTGGAAATAAGAACAATGTCATCATCATTGTTTTTGGTTAGGAAATCCTGATTCTTTATATATTTTCTAGTATTTTTCCATTGCCTTATAAGAAACTGGGGCCAGAGAAGTAACTGACTTCCAGCTTCATGGCAAGAACTACTATTAATAGTAACCTTAGAGCTTCCACCAACTTGCTTCAAGCTCCAGTTCATAGAAGCTCCCATAGAATTCTCTGGTTCAAGCTTATTTCTCCAACATCAGAACAGAAGATGTCCAAAAAGAACAGAAGATATCCAAACCACAATATTTATTAAGAAATATAAGCCATGATCTCTACCATCAAGGACCACACTATATCTAATTAAAAGAAAAAAATAAAAGAAATATACTCATGAAAACATAATAAACAAGGTGAGCATCTACTGATTTGCTCTGCCATGCTTTTCTATTATGATATGCTGCCTCACCACAGGCTTACAAGCAACATGGCCAAACGATCATGGACTGGACCCTCTGAGACTATGAGCCAAAATAAATCTTTTCCCTTTATAAGTTGACTTTCTCAGGTAGTCATTGTAGTAACACAAAGCTGACTAACACGGTCCATTGTGGGAAAGAATGTGAGAAGGGACAGGAGGGACAAAGCCTAATTCCATAGTATGTCAACTCCCTTTGAGTCTGGATGCTTGACCAACTGAGGTTGACCAATGAGAAAGCATAAAAGCAGGTGTGTATCTTGCACTCTCTAAAAATAAAGCCAGTACAAGATTTTGCAAGCTGCAAACTCTTTATACTCTATTACTGGACCTATGACTCCAGATGAACTTGAGGACTTGATTGACCAGCTAAAATCCATTTCTCGGAGGACTTTCTGAAATACTGCAACTAAGCAGTCTATTATCTTAGAGATCTGCTACAGAACCTGGAACAAAACCAAGGCTAGATGTTGGAAAGTCGCAAGATACCATTTATCACTAGGTCTAGAAGTGTTAGTCTGGGAGTATTTCCGTTTAGATAATTCTATATCATCTGCACAAAACTGCTCTTCTTTGGGGATAATGTTGTTGGAAGTTGTTCAACTACAAACCACTTGCAATTTGGGGTGCCTTATTATAACCTCAATGATGGAAGAAAAATAACTTCCGGGAAGATTTGGGACCAAAAAATTAACTGGCTGTAAGGCAAGTCACCCAGTTTTCTTTCTTTATCTGTGAAAAATACAGGAAATTGGCCTTACTTGGGGGAAAATAATGAGTGATGCAGTATCCCCCCCAACTCCCAAAAAGAAAAACTAAGTTCTTCATTCTATAGCTCCATCTTTCCACATTGACCTTGCTGATCCTTGGATCCAGAAGCATTACTGACATTCCTGACCACAATTCTAACAGTACATTAAGTAAGGTTCCTTAAACCTGAGCCCCCAAGCCTTTGAGAAGACTGCAAGCTAAGAACATGAAGACACATGTAATTCACCCCCAGTTTTCAGGACTCCCCACCCTTTTTCCTGCCCCCAAGGAATGAGCTATGGCTGGATTGGGAGTGAGCAAATCTCTGGAATTTCTCCCACAACACCCTCCTTTCCCATTCAGTTCTACAATTCCTTTCCTGCAGTCACATCCCTGTACATAAGGGAAGCAGTATTGAGGGGCTTGAAGCTTGCAAAATCTTTTACTGGCTTTATTTTCTAGAGAGGTTTTTAAAAACTTGTCTCAATTCTCTATTTTCCCCCCAAATGTAAAGACAGGGTTGTAGATGAGAATTTGGAAGAAATCTTAAGTACAGGAAATTTCTAGTTCCCAGAATTGGAAATGTGTCACAATAGATGTTTGAATTATGACCAGCATGTATTGAACACTGTCTATGTGCCAGGAGAAACAAATAAAAATCACATTTAAACAAATTAAGGTACAAATATGAAAGAAGCCTGTTATTAGTGGATTTATGGAGAGCTCCAGCTTTGGCAATTGACACAGCCAGGCTCTAATCCAGCTCTGCACGTAGTCACCTGGGTATGTCTCTTCTCCAGGATGGACTTCCCTAGCTGTCTTTTATAAAACAGATATGCTGAGACCTTGCCATGGTTCTGGGAGATTTCACCAGGCTTTACATAAAGAGTGAAAAACAGCTAATCATGCCGTATTTCTTCTCATGTGCAAATGCTTTACCTGAATTAACTCACTGAATTCTCACCGCAACCATTAAGAGCATATAATGGGTTTATTATTTTTTATCTAATTTTTTAATTATTATTTTTTAGCAGCACTGGAGATAGAATGCAGGGTCTCACACGTGCTAGTCAAGCAATATTTAAAATTGTGTTATGATTTAGAATTTAGTAGGCTATTAACTTTGAGCTTCCCTTACTTGTCATAGGCATCTAACACTGGGTGGTATCTATGGTGTTTATCAGGCTGACAAAATATGTAATCTGCTATGCTTTATTATTCTAGATAAATGTCCACTCAGGACCTAATTTTATAGTCACAGTTTAATATTCTTTCTCTTAAAGGCTCTAAAATTGTGCAAATTTTACTTTCTTCCCCAAACCTAAAGCCACGCTCCTTATGAGATAGAAGTAATTAACCACCCATCTCATGAGTTCCAAAGCTGACACCTAAGGAAGTGAAGTTCTTAGCCCAGTGACACACAGCCCAAAAATGGGGTTGCCCAGATTTCAACCCACACAGTCTGGCTCGAGCCAGAGTGCTTTCAACAGTAATACTTTATTGTTCTTGATTTCTTTTACATAAAGCTCCTAACAAACTCTCTGGGTCACTGGACACTTAATAACTAGTGGTGATTAATATTTCATGAATTCAAAACTGCTTTTGTAATAATAGGAATACAGCCCTGTCATATTTATATTACTGAATTTACATTACCATATAAATTTTAAACTTAGATAAATCAGCATATTTTGCCAGACTGATTTTATACAAAAGAACTTTTTTCTCATACTAATTTCCTAAAAGATTCTTTAAGTCTTTATTTTTTTAAGCAATACTGAGATTGAACCCAGAGCCTTTGCACTGAGTTACATCCCAGGCCCATTGTTGCTACCAAGGTTCTTTTTGTTTTTGTTTTTGTTTTTGTTTGAGACAGGGTCCCAAAAAGTCTCTAAATTGCCCAGGCTGGACTCAGACTTGCAATCTTCCTGCCACAGCCTCTCAGGATACTGGAATTACAGGCATAATAGGCTCTTTAAATCTTATTCAAGGTATTAGGTTACCTGCATCAGAATCATTTGTACCACACCCTGTGCCACAAAATCAAATAAATCTACATTAACAACGTTTAATGAATTCCCTGAGTGACTTTTTGGTACTCAGGTTAGAAACCATCACTTTTTAATAGTCACTCCACTACAGGTAGCATAGTTTATAGGTGGAGTGGAGAGTAACAGGCAGAGAAAGGAATTTGAATCTAAGGTGTTACTAGTGTTTTTACCTTTACTTTACCTTTAATAAGGTGAATGACAAGAATTACAATGTAAGTTAGTAGGCATGTTTGGCTACATTCAAATTTGCATAAGTTTACATATTCTATTAAAATTAAGTTTATATGTAATTTTGAAGACTATAGTAATTAAGAGTAGAACATTCTCAAGTTCTGTTCTAAAATTTAAGTATATTAATCCATTCACTCTTTAAAATCTTTTTTTTTTCCTGAGACATGCTCTCACTTTGTAATTCAGACTTGTCTCCAACTCACTATGTAGCCCAGGCTGGCCTCAAACTCTAGGCAATCCTCCTGCTTCATCCTCCCCAGTGCTGGGATTATAGGTGCGCACCACCATGCCTGGCTAAAATTCTTTTAATTAAGTAATCTTATCACCTTCATTTTGAGGCAGAGGCTCAAAAATGTTAAGTAATTCTCCACCAAGCCCAGAGAAAGGATTTGAACCCAAGAAGTCTGGTACTAGAAACTGTCTGTTAAATCCTGCCTCACATACACACAAAAAAGGTAAATTTTTTAAAAGTATGGATCAAGGTAAAATTCAAAGTCTTCTTTATAATTTGGAAGCATATATTTTGATTTTTTTATTGTTATTAGTACTTATTTGCAGCACATAATGATTACATTCATTGTGGGGAGTTGGTACCAGTACATAACACATTTTAATTTTTTTTTTACTTCCCCAACTTTGGATTTTGGAGTTTTTCCTCTGTTTTGGTCATCTTCAAGACAAATATTAGCCATGTGTTGAAGACATAAAATGTATGATATCAGTAAAATGATCTAAATCCACATTTTTCTAAGAATGAAAATTTAGAGAGTTAGACTTGAGGGTGTTAGAGCTCAGTGGATCCGCCTAGCTCATAAACAGGATCTTTGTTTCAGTCCCTCCCACATACTCCTCCCTCCACCTCTCAAAAAACTTTCAAGATCTTTACCCTAAATTCCTTCCCTCAGCATTTCTGCTGCTGGAGCCCAACAGTTGGTCAAAGCTGACATTAGACTCTAACTTGGCTCTAAGCACTTTACGTACGTGAATTCCTTCAGTACTCACAGCTGTATTATTTTTCCACATTTACAGAAGAAACTGAGGCAACAAATGATCGGTCCAAGGTCACAGAGAAGGTATCAAGATTGAAGAAGGACAGAATCAGGATTGAATCCCAGGCAGCCGCATGCCTGCCCTTAACCACCTACTAAAAAGTCTTCTTCCATGTATTGAGTGGCCTCTGTAAACCAGTCCTTCACACAAACCAGCCAAATCCTCCCAGGCCTGCTCAGAACTGCATTCCCTGCTGTGGCCAAGAGGGAAGGAAGGCTGGGAGAGATGAAAGGCCTTGCTCTGGCCACACAGCTGGAAAGGGCACTGTGGGCACCAGCCTGGATCCAAAACCTGCCACTTCCTACTCCACCACAAAAGCCCCTTGGGATTTTTATTGGTTACTACTCAGGACAAGCCCTAGAGAGAATCACCACCATTTCCATTTTACAGATAAGAGCCTTCAGCAGATAGCCTGAAAATAACCTTCCAATGCTTGGGTTGATTCCATCTTCTACATCTGCTCTTCAAAACAAGAGTCTGGGAAAGGAGAAGATGTAAGCCTACATTCATTCACATTGGCTCAAGGTTAAGCCAATAAAAGCCCTAGCTCTGGCAAGTGTAGAGAACACCAACTGAAGGAACTGAGATGCTTTGGATCTCAGTACTGGCGGGTAACCAGGCCACCTTGAAACTGCTAACCCATTGATAAGAATAGACAGGGACAGTTGTGTGCTCCCGACTTGTAGCCCAGGAGGCTTCCGAGAGTTTGGGACATTTCCCTCAGATTATCTCTTCTCCCTGAATCAACAACAGTAACCGCAAAGTACCTCACAAACGCAGTAATGACAAAAACTTGTTATTAATTTCTTTTGGGAGGAGGATGGGCCCAGTCTCAGAAATTAACAAGAAAGACCGGCAGGTAACAGGAGCCAAGAAGGAAACTCGGTTCTGCAGGACTCTGAAGTCCCTGGCAAAGTTCTTGGGGAAACCTCGCGGGGGGCAGGGGCAGCAGACGATAAAGAAGTGACCCACAAGTGACTAGCAGATCGGCGAGCTCGGGGACAGAAGGCTGTGGACAGGGACGAGATGAAAGGAGAAGGAGGTGATGCCTCCTTTCCTAGCGTCCGATCGGTCAGAGGGAGCCTGTCCAGAAGCCAGGCGGGCCTGAGAGGCAGAGAGAGGAGACGGCAGCCTCGCCCAGGTCCCCTGGCTCTCTGCCGCTCTCGCACTTACTTGCTCTGAAGTGTCACCCAAGCTCCGTGCCTCTTCTTGCGACCCCGTGCAGAGGGGCAGTCCCAAGCACAGCCCAAGGAGCAAGAGCATGGCGGGGTCAGAGCTCCGCGACCGCAGTGGGACTCGGCGGGACACGCAGGAGCTCAGGGGACTGGAGACTGCAGGGAGGGCTGCGCTGCCGCCCCGCCAGCTCGCCCCCCGCAGCCCCGCCCCCATCCCGGGCCCGGCCCCTCTGCCGGCTGGCCCCGCCTTCCTCTCATCAGCACCTCCAGGCCCCGCCTCCGACGCCCGGGTCCCCACTGCCCAGAGAGAAAAGAACCACTTCAACTCCGCAGCCACCTCTGCTCCTCGCCCCAGGTCCTCTGCCTTGCCCTCATCTTGTGCCCTGTGACATTTTAAGAACCAGACCCCTCTTCTGTCGAGTTCCCTCCATTTCCACCTGCCAGCAACCTCCCGCCTCATTTTCTTTCTTTCCTGAAATGGCCAGGATATTTCTTGTGCACTTCTTTAATTCCCCTGAGGATGCGGGATGGGCCAGTCCACCCCTCTACCTACACCTGCTACCCTAAAGCCAAGGCGGCCTGCTTCCCTCTGCCTCAATAGAGCACGTTCCCCTTTCCATCGCCACCGATTTCTAGAAGTCAAGATAAAGGGTTCTAATTAGGACCCACGCAGACTACCAGTGTTGTCCTCTTTATGCTGCCCTGAAACAGGGGGACAGAAAAGAGAAAGGCAGAATTGGCACCGCGTGGTCGTAATTCTAAGTGTTTGGTTATTAATCTGTAACTTGGTTATAAACTGTTGGTGATCTTTCCTCCATGCCATAGGAAGAGTGATTATCTACGGAGCCATCTCTGCCTGGCCTTTTTACGTGGCAGATACATAATGTAGCTGAGACTGCTTATGTCTTCTTCTAAAAGGCAACTGCCTCCAGAACACTTTCTGTCTCTGACAATTCCATCTAAATAGCTGAGGGGTATAACCGTTCCCAACAGCCAAGGACAGGGAATCACTACCATTTCCATCCTGGTCATCGGTGGCCATTAAATGATAATCACAGGGACTGTAGAAAGTGTTATCTAAAGGAGAAAATCAGATCACAAAATTGTATCAACAGTACTATCGTATTTAAGTAAAAATGTTTATGACCGGACATAAAAAGTATGAAAAAATGAAAATGACAGCAGTGGTTGTGCTAATTTGAGCTGATATCTCCTCCTTAAAACATTTTTTTTAACTCTTGTTGAAATGCTGTGTGTTAAACAGAGAAATGAAGAGAGAGGTTAAAACAGACTTGGGCCAGGGATTTAGCTCAGTGGTTCTGCCGCCTGCCTCGTAAGCACAAGGTCCCGAGTTCAATGCCCTGTTCCAAAAAGGAAAAAAAAGACTTGGTGATACTGTTCAGCAAATGAAAGAAAACATTTGTCACTAGCAGTTAATCACTGAACGGCCTCAACACTGACTAATTAAAAAGCACACATCCCACAAGAGGTAAAGCAGTCAGTCCAGTGCAACAAAACACATTATACACCCACTTTGTCCTAGGAGGACAATCCCAAATCTTCTGGAATCAGTTTGCCTATTTTCCTAGGAGGGAAAAATAACAACTTGTGAACTCAGAATTGCATTGGACAAAATCATGTTATTTGAAAAAGAACAGTAACTGTGACTATGGTTCCAGTGTTCCAACACGTCCAGCTTCCCCTTCCAGCCCTCCCTGCTGCAATGCTGGGAGGGATCGTACTCAACTATATTTGCCCTCACACCTGTTCTTTTTCCAGATTTGTATTAACTGGCTTTTGCAACAGTAACACTAGGAAATGTAAGTTTTCTTTGGTAGGTCTTGGAAGATACTGACTATTCTGGACTTTGTTGGGCAAGAAGGCTGGGAGGGGGGCTGGGGGGTCAGAACTGGCTACTATGTAGCTATGTGACCAGGCAGAGTTTCTGAACTTTCAGAATTAAGATGGTTCAACTGACAATTTTTCCACTCTATGATGGTGTATAAGTGATATGTGTTCAGTAGATATCATACTTCAAACTCATAATTCTGATCTTCTCCAGGGGCTGGCAGTGTGATGCTAAGTAGCAGCAGGGAGCCGCAGCTGCCCTTCAGCCAAGCAATCAAGAGGGTAAACAATAGATACTCTAGGGTGTGTTGTGTTGCCAGGGTTTTTGAATGTTGTCTTGTGCCTTTGCATCTCAAATCCAGCTGTAGGCTAATCTGAGTGTTCTGAGCATGTGTAGGCAGGCTGGCTAGGATGTTGGGTGTGTTAGATGCATTTTCAACTTAATGAGATTTTCAGATTATGATGGGTTTATCAGAAGGTAGTCCCATTTTTAAACTCAGGACTATCTGTATTTTCAATCTGTGAGGGTCTAGTATTCTATTTTATTTTTAAAAAGAAATGTAATTTTTACTTGCAGATAATGCACCAATCCACACTAACTGCTAAACACTTTGAGCTGACATTTGCTTTTTTTCCAGTTTTTATTTTTTGTTAGCACATGGTTGCAATACATAATGTTCACATTCCTTGTGGAGAGTTGGTACATGTATATAATGTGTTTTCCTTCCTTTTTTGACCCCTTCCCCCTTCCCCCCAATCTCTTGATTCACTTTCCATTTGAGAAAGATCTATCTCCCCTTCTCATTTGAAAAAGATCTAACTTTTATTTTGCTCTTTATTTATATTTTGGGTTTTTCATACAAGATAAACCACATGATGTTTAAGCTTATGTGTCTGGTTTATTTCACTTAACATTATGGCCTCAAGGTGCATCCATTTTCCTACAAACCCAAGTTTATCTTCCTTTTTGGCAGAGTAGTACTCTATTATGTGTAAATATCACATTTTCTTTATCCATTTATCTATTGATGAACATATAGGCTGCTTCCAAGATTAGCTATTATAAATTCTTCTGATATAAACATGAGTATGCATGTATCACTGTAATAGGATGTCTTTAACTCTTTGGGGAAGATTCCTAGAAGGGGTATAGCTAGGTCAAGTGGAATTTCTAGTTAGTTTTTTTGAGTAATCTCCACACTGGTTGTACCAGTTTACATTCCCACAAACAATGGAGAAAGTTTCCTTTTTCTTGGAAGCCTGACCAGTATTTGTTATTATTTGATTCCTTGATGATAACCATTCTTTCTAGGGTAAGACATACTAGTCTAGTATTCTATGTGACACCTGAGCATTGGTAGAATGTTGTTTAAAAGTTATGTAAGTGTAATAAAATAAGACCTAGTGCAAGTTTTCCAAGATTCTTGCAAGTATAGGCAATAATTTATATTGGCTTTCTAAATAAGAATCCAACAGTGAATTTCCCCCCAGAGGGGACATGTTAAAATGAGGACTAAGGTGCCTCCACACACATCTGTGCTTGATCTCATGTTTCTCATTTTACCTCCAGTTAGGGCTGATTGTCTAGTCTAAGACTGCTGAACAGGTAGAATCTCCAAGCTAAAAGAGACAATGAGGGACATCTAGCCCAATTCTGATTTTTCTAAAGAGTCACCTGAAAGGGCATGCCCAGAACTACACACTTGTTGGTGACAAATCCCAGGCAAGGATCCAGTGTCCACAGATGATGGTTCATTGTGTTTCTAGAAAGCAGTTTCCTTAGTAGCTGAAGGACTAGAATCAGACTCAGTAGTTAATAGCTTTTATTCTCTTGCTTAAGACCACCACTTAATGGGCCCAAAGCTATCACTAAACTGGCTCCAAGTTAGATTAAAGAGCTGAAAGCAGATTTTATATTTGTTTTCCTTTCTTTCACCTTGAATTTAGACCCTGCCACTGCCTAGTGCCTGTATCCATATAGGATTTTTATCAGTTAGATTCCAGCCATAGCCAAGTCCTCTGGGTTCACCTTGCCAGTTTTGCCCTCTTTCTGAGTGTCCTAAAGCCGCCATTCTCTTTAGGGTCAGCTGTTTCTCCCACTCCTTGGTCCAGACTTTTTTAAAAGTCTGTTTATATGGCCTTTTGTTTGTTTTTGTTGACCCCGACAACTTTGCATAATTGTGACAGTTCTTTACAAACTCAGAATTTTTTGTTTCCTTGATCAGAGGGACTGGAGAGGAATTGGGTTCCTTTTGGGACCGCCTCAATGATTTTTCAGGAGCCATGGTGGCTTGGGAGTCTAGTTACCCCCATTTTGCATCTATCTTACCAGCCACTGAGCTTTATCCAGCAAGAATACTTCTGGACATGAAAGTAGAGAATGCGGCTTTCAAATTGAGGACTAATAATTGGCTGAATTAATGAACTATTTACTAAGTGCCACAGTTCATTATATTTTATTTTAATGACTTGCTGTTATGGTTTAGATCTAAAATGTCCCCCCAAAATTCTCATACATCTGGAAGGTGACTGGATCATGGGATGTTATACTCATCAGTGGATTCATCCATGGATGACTCAGTAGCTGAATATTTTGTTAGGAGGTGAGGCCAGATTGAAGGTGGGTCATTGAGGGCATGAATTCTTGTCCCCAGTTCCTCTCTTTGCTCTCTGCTTCCTGGCTGCCCTGGGTTGAGCACCTTTTTCTCTGCCATGCCCCTCTGCCATCCTCTTTCTGGTGGACTAAATGCATGAGCCAAAATAAATCTCTCCTTCTATTAATTGCAGGTGCTACATACTGTGTCTCAGTATGAGAAAGTGACCAAGACATCTGCTTACATATTTGAGTCTCAAATTAGACTCTGATTTCCTCATGGAAAAGTATTGTATTGGGCTTATTTTTATAACCCCAATATCTGGCACACGGCAAGGGATACAGTAGACATGATATGTTTGATGAATGAATGAATGTGCATCTGCTAGTTGTATACAATATAATGGAAGTCTTAGATACAGTCCATGACCTAGAAGGATTTTCCACTTAGAAATGAAGGTGGAGCTTCAGAATGCATGTAATTTGAGTTCCATTGTGACATGCTAAGAAGAGGAAGTTGAGACTGTGAATGTGGGCAAGATGGCTTCATGAAGGAAGTAGAAATTTATCTCTGCATGAATTAGATTTTGAAAGCCAAATGGAGAAGAGAAAGCATTAAAGAGACAGAGGATAAAGTGGGCACCAGGGTAGAAAAGGCTTGGGTATTGAGGAAATGAATACAAAGTACTGGGGGGAAGGTTCAAGTGTGAGCAGTTACCTGTTGACATGTGTTGAGCTGA